GCCAAGAACATTATAATCCTACCAGTGGACAAAAGGCGCATGACCGTCATTATGAACAAACCGGACTACGCTGAGAAAGCACAAGCACTGCTTGCAGATACAAACACTTACCAACAGATGGCGATAGACCGGACACCGCAGCTAGGTAATAGGATCACCCAGACACTGAAGAGACTAAAAGATGCAAGACAGATAACCAAAATGGACTACATGAGAATGAAACCAGAAGGCATGAACACCCCCCGCTTCTATGGCCTTCCTAAAGTACACAAACAGACATCCCCCTCAGACGTATTGTCTTCCTACCAGGCACAACTTCACACAAACTGGCCAACGACCTACAACAGAGACTGAAACACCTAGTCGACGGATCACCCCATTCCATCCACTCAACCCAAGAATTTCTCAACACCTTCAAGAACATAAAATTCAGTGACAACGAGATTATGTCATCCTTCAATGTCACATCAGTTGGTATCCCACTAGCCAAAGAAACATTGGCCACATTACCAGATGAAGCAGGAACACAGACCAGCAGCTCCATCAACAATGACAACATACTCAAACTACTAGACTTGTGCCTCACCACACACTTCCTCTTTAATAGTCAAGTATACAAACAGATCAATAGCAAATCCATGGGGTCACCGATGTCAGAACTCATCGCAGAGGCAGTCATGCAAAGACTAGAACTCACTACCCTCCCCCGCATTCAACCTAACTGTGGACGACACATTTGTCATTATTAATGCACCAAACTAGAACAGATCCACCACCTCATCAAAAACATATTGGCCGGGATTAAATTCACAAGAGAAGAAGAAAACAACAATTCTGTTTCTGGACGTCAGAGTTGAAAGTATGACGAACGGGGAGTTCCAAACCTCAGTATACAGGAAAGCAACCCACACTGACCAAATCCTCAACTTCCACAGCAACCAACGTCCACAAACAAAGCTGTATTAGGACACATTTTAAACGGGCCACCACTCACTGCAACACGCCAGAACTATGCAAGAAAGAGGAAGAGTACCAATACAAAATCTTCACTATAAACGGATAACCCGCAACTTCATCCACAGGGGCCCACTAAATAGGCAGCGACAGGAGGACACAGTATGCCCTAACACACTGACCACAGTGCCCTACATCAAGAACATATTAGAACTGACAATGAGACTCCTATGACCACTAGGAATCATGGTAGCACACAAGCCCACAGGCACTCTACGACAAGCACTCACAAGGATTAAAGACCCCATTCCCAAAACATGAAGAACAATGTAGTTTATAAAATACCATGCAACGACTGCAACAAGCATTACATTGGACAGACAGGAAGGAAACTATCCGTCAGAAAACGAACATCAGCCGGCAGCGAAACAGCACGACGAACTCCCCTTAATATCAGTACAGTCAGACAATGAAGGCCATCAATTTAAATAGGACAAGGTAACCATAGTAGTCCAAGCCAAACATAGACACGCATGGGAATTCCTAGAGGCATGGTTCTCCACCCATAATGCAATCAACAAACACATAGAATTGGACCCCATATACAAACCCATACAGAACAAAACTGGAAATGACACTACTCACCATAACAGACCAGACAGTATAAATTCCAAGCGGAGTAGAACAACATCGCTTCATCAGAGGCCTCACTGATGATATCATGTAACGTCGTGATGAAATATCTGAACAAAAACAAGCCAGCTTGGTGAGCCAGTCAACAACCTCATCCACAACCTGAGCTACAAATCTTTGCTAAAACCTTAAAAATCCCCCACACAGTCTGTATACTTACTGCTTATTCTCTACATGCCTCCACAGTGTCCGTACATTTACTGCTTATTCTCTCTCAGACTATCCATACACTTGGTGTTCATTCTCTACACCGTCTACACTACACCCAAGACACTTGTTTGTCAATGGCCTTGTCCCCTTAAACACTTTCCATTCTTTTCAGGTAATTCCCTGTGTGACCTTTCTGGCTCCCTGCTGTGTACCAGCCTCCCTTAACCTGATTTGTCCCAGACAAGCAGTGGAATCCTTGCACTTCTATGAAAATCCTATGCACCACCTTCCCACCACACATTGATGAATTTTTGAGGAACTTCTTCACCAGCTTAATCAAATTCGTTAAGATCTGATTGATTAAGATCACCGGGGCGGCCCGGTGGCTCAGTGGTTAGCACTGCTGCCTCACAGCACCAGGGACCTTGGTTCAATTCCACTCTTGGGTGATTGTCTGTGTGGAGTTTGCACATTCCCCCTGTGTCTGCGAGGGTTTTCTCCAGGTGCTCCGGTTTCCTCCCACAGTCCAAAAATGTGCGGGTTAGGTGGATTGGCCACATTAAATTGCCCGTAGTGTTCAGGGATGTGTAGATTAGGTGGGTTATAGGGGGATGGGTCTGGGTGGGATGCTCTGTGGGTCGGTGTGGACTTGTTGGGCTGAAGGGCCTGTTTCCACACTGTAGGGATTCTATGATTCTATGATCAGACAATGTCCTCCCCCAAACCTCAGTGAATGTGTCTGGCACTGAGAGGAGTGTCAGGAAACCTCATGCTGCCAGTGCAGGTAATTTGGAGTCTCAATCACCGCCTTGCATACACCCAATTGGATCTAAGATTCCAGCCATAGTGTTTGCATTTTAATCTTTCTGCTACACTATTCAGTGTTAGCATATTCTGAAGCCTAAGAGTGCAATGAGAGAAATACTAACCATTAAAAAAAAGATAAGCTTTTAAGAGAAATTTACTCAAGTGTCAACTTAAAATATTTAACAAGCATGGGATGATGTTTAAATACAAGGATTGTCTAGGTTCATTTGGCTTTTCTTATAAATTCCATTTCTCATTTGGAGAGCAAGAAATAATACAAGATGAAATGATTGTAAATCTACTGTGTAGCCGGTAACTATAAATACATGAGCTGACTGATGTGGCTTGCCTCATTTTGGTAACAGCAGGCTTCTATTCATGCTGTGCTGTGAAGTGATTAGATGTGAGCTTTCATTTATGAATCCCATACACAAAATTTAAATTTTATCTCAATCACTGTAGGGATGAATGGAAAATCAGAAGCTTTATACTATGTTGACTACCTACTTTGGGATTAATGCGAAGCAGGGGTCGAGGGGTTTAGGGCAGAGAGAACATGAAGTCTAACTTTAAAAATAAGAAGATGGACAAAATAATGGTGTTTCTAACTGAATTCAAGACAAAAAAACAAGTTTCTGGATTAAGTGGCTATAACCAACGATCATTGCAAACTGAAAATATCCAGGTAGGACTGAGAAATAGAAGCTTAAATTCCAAAACTCTAAGGCCATGAGTTACAGGAGCAGAATTAGGACATTCAGCCCAATAAGTCTGCTCTGCCTTTCGATCATGGCCTATATGTTTCTCAACTACGTTCTCCAGCCTTCTCTCTGTAACCCTCGACCCCCTAACGAATCAAGAACCTATCCATCTTTGTCTTAAAGATACTCAGTGACTTGACCCCTGTAACTTTTTGTGGCAATGAATTCCACAGATTCACCACTCTCTAGCTAAAGAAATTCCTCCTCATCTCAGTTCTAAAGGGCTGTTCTTTTACTCTGAGGCTGTGCTGTTGGGTCCGGGTCTCTGCTACTAGTGAAAACAACTTTTCCACGTCCACTCTATCCAGGCCTCTCAGTATTTTAGTTTAAATGAGATCCCCACCACTGTCTTTCTAAACCGCATCAAGTACAGACTCAGAGTGCTCAACCACTCCTCATATTGACTAGCCCTTCATACCCGGGATCATTCTCGTGAACCTCCTCTAGACTCCCTCCAAGGCTAGCACATCCTTCGTTAGATATGGAGCCCAAAACTGCTCACAATATGCCAAATGTGGTCTGACCAGAGCTTTGTACAGCCTTAGCAGTACATCCCTGATCTGGTAAGCTAGCCCTACTGAAATGAATGCTAACATTGCATTTGCCTTCATAACTGCCAACTAAACCTTCATGGAAACCCTAAGAGAATCCTGAACTAGGACTCCTAAGTCCCTTTGTGCTTCAGAATTCTGATGGCTTTCCCAATTTAGAAGATAGTCTACATCGTTACTACCAAATTGCATAACCTTACACTTTTCCACAACGTATTTCATCTGCCACTTCTTTGCCCACTCTCTTAGCCTGTCCAAGTCCTCTGTAGTCTCCCTCAACACTACTTGTCTACCTACCTTTATGTCCTGTGCAAACTTCTCAACAATTCACTCAGTTCCTTTGTCCATATTGTTAATGTATAATGTGAATAGTTGTGGTCCCAACACTTACCCCTCGGAACTCCACTAATCACTGGCTGCCAGGGCAGTAGCAATGCAATGGAACACAACACTTGTCTGCCATCTGCTAATGCTGTAGGCCTGCCCCATGCTATGAAATAATAACACTATTAAAAGATCAGAGTGCTGCTGTATAGATGCTGAAGTAATATCTGGCAGGAAGTTTGAAGAGCAACTGTGCAGGATCAGTGATGGGAGTGAAGCCTAGAAAAGGTTAAAGGGAAAATGCAAGTTTTTTTTAGTTAATGTTCCTAACGATGCAACTGGCTAATTTGAGTAGTTAATTGAACCCCTCTGCAATAATTTGCTTTTCTCCAGTACAGTACTAGAGCCTTATTAATCCCTAAGTGGAAATCATGCTAGCTGTGTTGGCCTATTGGGGTCATAATTGATGGGTTCCACTCATAGTCCTGAACACCCACAGGTAGCCTCCCAAAGCATAGACTTGCCACTCAGCTGAACTACCTCTTCCCTATAGAAATTTGGGACGTTATACGTATGAAGTTAAAAAAAATTAGATTGAGTGCTGCCCCAAATTTCAGATTCAATAAATTTCAGCCCCAGAGGGCTGAGAATGTTTTTAAAAAACAGTGATATTGTATCAAATTTGTGACAAAATAGTGTTTTGTTACTGGTTTGATCTTTTTCAAGATAACAATGATGAAATAATATTCTACTTTTGCAGGATGTACCTATGGTTCAGTACCATTTTCATCGACGCACAGAAAGGTTAGTGTCTGATATCCTACTTCATATACAGCTTTGAATTCAATGGCCTAGAACTTCTAGTACTGGAGCGGGGATAGACTAAACCTAAATTGTAATTGCACTTTAGGACCCATTTGAAATTCTGAAGTGTGAACAGGTTCTGTAACTGCTCAGGGAGTTTAAATTTCTGATGGGGTTATTGTGCTACCCTGAACACCATGTGAATATGTCTTGAGACCTCACTGTTGAAAACATGGACCCAAATATTTTGGTTGCTAAATGGTCATCAGAGCAACGCAGATGGGTGTTGCATGTTGGCAGCCTCGCATTCTAGGCGCAGCAGATGCTATGGGAATTGCAGGGAAATTGAAGATTCCTTTGGGCATTTGCCCTGCATCAGGAGTCACAATGCACACGAACCTACTGTTCTCCCGAGCCCTTCCAGCCTGGGACCTTGACAGCCACAACCCCCTCCCACCAATTAAATTTCCTCACCATCACCCCAGAACCTACTGGCCTGAAGCCTCACTGGCCCAGACATCATCCTCACACCTCCTCTAAACACTCCATCATTTCCCTGGCTCCTTAGCCACCTGATGCCATATTTATCTGGCACTGTAACTCCTTAACCACCTGCCACCCTAAGCCCACACTTACCTTACATACTACTCATTCGCAGCTCTTGTCAAAGTCTGACTGTGCTGCTGGACATTTAAATCTCAGAACAGGGTGACTGACTGCTACAAGAGGAAGCATGGTTTGACCTACCTGGACTATCCCGCACTGCAAGGGAACAAGGTGATTTTTAGCTACACTCCCCACTTCTGAAAGAGCCAGGACTAAAATTCTCAGCTAGAATAGCAGAGTTCAGTACTAATGCATAAAATATGACCAGAGTGGCAAATCTAACTATGATTGTCACTCCATGGAATTGCCAAGCCATGGACTACATATTTAACCTAAAAAACAACACAATTTAATATTTGGTGTAATTCAATGATTAAAAGTTTAAATCAATGCAGCATACCCCACATGCAGCAATCCCATTTCACAGCCATCTACCCTTCAGATTTGACCTAACTATGCTCCTCAACCCAATTAGACCCACCAAGTCTCTGATCTGATTGAATTAACGCCCCCAAACATGACCAAGTTATCCTCCCGACTCAATACTCCATGAAATAATTATACCCCCTCACCCAATCTGACCATAGCGCTCAGCACAATCACCAATCCCCCAACCCAACGATCCACCTCCCAACAGACTCCCCACAATTACCTTTGACATTGACCTACATGCCCATTAAACCCATCATTTACTCACCCTGCTTATTCACGCAGTCACTGGAAACCATTGACATCTTTAAAAATGTACAGTTGATGTGGGGCATGTCCTCTGCACTGCTCCTCTTTGTGGGTCCTCTCCTGCACTCGTCAGTGTCATAAGTGGGTGTCTGTGTTAATCCAGATCAGAAGGCCCAATAGACAACTGCAAAAAGAGTAATTGTGCACAAATCTCTGTGGGCTGCAGCACCACTGATCAGAAAATCTTGGCCATTTTCTCAAAAAACAATTTTCCTAATCTCACTGTGAAAACCAAACTATTCTCATATGTGGGATTTCTGAAATCTTAGACAAATAATTCTGAGATTGTGCTAGTAATTGATTGAGTTTGGGAATGGTTAACACATTCATAGATCAGTTAGATCAGTTGTTAATTTTAAATCTGAGAGATTAAAATTTTAGTTAAGATAAAGCATTGAGAGATATGGGCCAAAGGTATGTATATGAAGATAGGCCACAGATCAACCATGATCTCATTAAATGGGGGAATGAGTTTGAGGGGCTGAACGGTCTACTCATGTTCCTATATGAAATCCTTTAATCACAATTTAGTGGAGGCATCAACCATTTATTGTTACATGCTGACATCTCCATTAAAATAGCCAAGTGATATTTCATAAACATTAAACATTTGTACACAATAACTCTTGAAACCCTGAAATTTCAACATAGCATCGGTCAAACCATCACTGCTTATCAGGCACAACACCTTGCCCATAAATAGTGTCCATTTTGCCTGCAGAACAGATAAATCTCGTAACAATTCCTATTTTTTCTAAAGCCCAAACTACCAACCTACCTCTTCCATGTACCTCACCTCCCCAAATGCACACACTTTTCTGCTGTAGAAGCGACAGAGGTGTACACCTCTGTTAAAAACCACAAATTAACTAGCAGCACAGTTAAAGATTTGCTGTATCTAGTTCCTGCCTCATCTTTGATGTCATGGCTGTCATTATCCTAGAGCATAATTTCAAGTCCTTTGTTTGTCAACAACATGACAAATGCTCTGTGCACGTGATGATAAAGAAAACATAATGGAAATGCTCAGACCTTTTCTCTAAAATACTTGGTGTTACATTTGCTTCAAAAAAAGCATCCCTTGCTGCACATTAACAGACAGTAACTTTTACTGTTTCAGAACAAAGTCGCAGAAAAGGAGATTCGAGGAGGAATTAAATGAGAGAATGATAAGAGCTATTGATGGAATTAATTCACAAAAGTAAGTTTGGATTACAGAAAATAAGTATTGCCTCGAAGGTAAAGGAAGTTGACAGATTCAAAATATAAAATTTAGAATTAAACATTGGTGTCAAACAACGTATTGTAAGTTTGTACCTGAGATGGTGAGCATACTATTGATAACTGTGTAGAAACTTTAAAATTGCCCATCTCATCATTTCTATTGGATAACACAGAAGAAAACATTACTGTAAGAAGATGAAAAAGAAACTCATCAAGGTGCTGCTGATTCCCAAATATGAGTGCACAATCATATGGCTATTGCCCCACCAGAAAGCACATTTACTCTGGATAAAATCTATCCATCAGAGATCATTTACCTGTGGCTAAAGTGAAGGGAACACGTGTAACGTTTTGCCTATGCCATACAAATTAGGCAATGACGGTTGAGATCTGTACACCTTGGAAATCAACTGTCATGGAAATTGTTACAGAATTTTGTACTCCATTGTGCATTGCTTTCTGGCCCCACCATTTTTCTAATTCTAATGCAGAATTCAAATGGTACCAGTTGAAACCAGTCTTCCAGTTCCCCTGATTCATAATTCATTAAGTTCTATTGCACTTAACGTAGCATGTTCTTTTGTGTAATTTTGTCTTTCTCAGCTCCTGGATTGACTGGCTCCAACAAATAATCTGCATCTAGTTAGTAGGTGAGATATGCAAAATGTGAAGTATAGGAGGATTAATGAGTTGCTAATATATGGAAATTAGCAGATTATTTTAATTCTGACTCACAACACAACAGCAGTATTTTACAAGGCCCAACAACACCAGTGGGGTTTTTTCTCACAACAAGAGGCTAATTTGAAAATTGTGGAGATGTTGTCTGAGTTTTTGTGGTCATTAATGTTGAGCAATGGGATACAGCTGTCACTTAAAATGCCATTTCCTGATAAATTGTGGTAAGGGGCCTTGCGAAATTCTACCCAGGTTTTTGCGCATTTCGTACTGTTCTTATCTGGCAAGATCAATTAGTTGTCAAGTAGCATTAATTATTATTAATAGCTGAGCACCACAACTGGCCGGCAAAAGCAGTCAATCTAAAAGTATTATTATTATTAGAATCCTTACTGCATTCCCATCAAAATATACTGAATCTCTGAACAAGAGATAACACAGTGTGGAGCTGGAGGAACATGGCAGGCCAGGCAGCATCAGAGGAGCAGGAAAGTTGACGTTTCGAGTTGGGACCCTTCTTCAGAAACATCAACTTTCCTGTTCCTCTGATGCTGCCTGGCTGCTGTGTTCCTCCAGCTCCACACTATGTAAGCTCTGACTCCAGCATCTGCAGTTCTTGCTATCTCTGAATCTCCAAACAAACCTGCCGCAGAATCTAAGCCAAGTTTTTCACCCAAATGAACTGGTGAGAGTGAGGCAAACCAGTGGAGAGTCAGAATCGTGGTTGAGCATATACTATTGCATAATCAGCCATCACTATTATCAGGTTGTATGGAGGCAACCCACTATAGGCCAGAAGGGACCTAACTGAGAAATGAAAGTTGTACTTTACATCATTGACACTGCACTTAATGGAAAATCAAAGGAGGCTCACACAGTGTTCCTAAATGACATAAGTCATTTTTTTTTCCTTTTTTGTTGAGAGGATTCCTTGTGGGGCAGCAGAAGCAGGATTCCATCCCACCTCTCCTCATACCACCATCCGTCATCTGGCGATTTCACTTCAGCAGTAACACTGGACAAACATTATGGATCAGTATTCATCCAAAATTAATGCACGCACATACACGCACACATCCACACATCTTTGATATATGCAGTGCCAGAATACTAAAACACTGAAAAGGATTGAAAGAATTCAAGGCATTTGGACTTGAATGTACATAATGTAGCATTTGCTAAAGAACTAGCACCAGAACTTAACTATAATATACCTCCCATCAATAAAAGAAGGTGGTTACTAGTAGATTGGTCAACATCTATCCCATGTTCAAAGAAAGTCAGCCCATTACTCCCCATTAACTATTTTTAGGTTCTTGTGAAATATTAGACCATGCCATTCCCCACCGTATCATGGTCCATGTCGAAGAACATGACATCTTGAAAACTTATCAGCATGGATTCTTGAATGCACATTCCTGTGAGATGCTTGTGAACATTGCATAAGTGGCCATGCATTACTTTGATCAAGGTACAAAGTGTGATCTGCTAATACAAGACTTAAGTAAAGCATTCAATTCAGCAGCTCACTGAAAGTACCTTCTAAAATAAATCAATACAGAACAGGTGAAACCCAATGCTGGATGAAAGTTTTGCCAGTCAAGAGATTTTAAAGTGGTATTCATGAGGCAATGTCATGTTCTATAACAGTTACATCAGTGCTTGATGCTACTGTTGTACATAAATGAGATAGGAGGTGGAATCAACCCTGACTCTAAATCAACTGACTGATTTGTGGGCAACACATTCAAATACAGGCAAAAAGCAACTTAAAGGTACCGAGAGAATGGTCTCATAGTTAGCAAATTACTTCTAACCTCTGAAAATACCACACCATGCATGCATTAATACATAGATAGATTGGGACCATCACGTAAAGCTTAATGGGAGTCAACTTTACATCCAACAAACAAAACCTCTTCCTTGGTGTTCTCCTGTCAAGTTGAATGAGATGGGCACATTCTATTAATGTTGCTGTAAATGATGCAAACAACATCGTCGAAATTGTAAGGATACATCTGACTAAGTGAATCAAGCAATCAAGGTTACTGCATTCAATACTTAATACTGGATTGTGCAGCAATAGTGTGGGACTCTTATTAAGACTGCCCTAATAAATAAACTGAAAATTGTTTAAAGACACGCGGTATGGCCTATCTTCAAAACTATGCCAGAACATCCAATATTAGATGAATGTTTATCCTCCCCATAGTGACCTATGCATTTCTAGGCTCTCTCTCTGGACTGAAGGTGACATGCTTCTATCCCAGTTCAAAGGATTTAGAAATGGCTGTTAATTCCAATTCACAATTTATAGATTCTGCTCTTCAGGGGGAATGTGGTGCTTGAAGAGTCTCGCATTATTTGGAAGTTTTAGCACTCTCTCCAGCTAAATGTCACCTGTGTATGCTGCCAATGCATAATGTGTTTGGTGCCTTCCCGAATTAATTTTCTCTGCCTTAATCAGTCACAAGTCATGGATTCTCATGAATTGATGAGGATTTAAGGCTGGTTTGATGACATTTCTAAAATGTTTCTGCTGAGTAAAGTAGTTGCTGGATGCAAATGACACATCCTGCCCAATGGAGCTTATTTGGAGTAACTAAAATAGCAAACCATGCTAGGCATGTTGGCGTGCTGCTGGTCTGTCTTCCTTGCCATTGGATTTAAAGGATCTTGTGAAGGCATTGCTGTTTGTGCTTCTCCAGTGTGATAACAGAGTCTCTTATAAATTATCCACGTCTCCAAAGCACAACTGAGTACAGGGTTCACTTCTGTTCAGTAAACCATTACTTCAGTCTCAGTTATGAGATCATTGTCATCAAACACTTTCCTTCCACAGGTGGCCAAAGACTCAGCTGGCACATTGGAGGTGTAATGAATTTAAATACCTATGTCAAGAGCTGGCTCCCAAAGTAGGGGAAATTAACCTTATTTTCCAGGATTTCACCATTGATGGAAGAGGATCTTCATTTTCGTGTTTATTGAAAAGCCTATTTCGTCATATGTTTCAGACAGGGAGCTGACAATGACGTGGAGCTCAGCTTTTGATTGAGCGCATACAAGCATCGTCTGCAAACTGGAGCTCAGTGACTGAATTTAGAGTAATTTTGGGATTGGACTGACGGGAGTGTAGATTGAACTGTTTTCTACCTAGGTTGAAAATTATCTCTTATGAGTAGTTTACTAAAATTGAAGTGCAGGGTTGAAGCAAGGGAGATGAAAAAGGTTCAAAAACAAGGTTGCTGGAAAAGCTGAGCAGGTCTGGCAGCATCTGCGAAGGAGAAAACAGAGTTAACGTTTCGGGTCCGGTGACCCTTCCTCAGAACTGTTCTGAGGAAGGGTCACCGGA